CTTATGACTATTGACTTTTTACTTATCACTAATTATGAGGATAACTACCTCATTAAAACCTAGATATTCACGTCTCTCAAATTTCTGTCAAAGATTGCAAACCAATGCCCAATTTTATATTACTCTGGCTTCAGAATCAGGGAGGCATAGGAACGTAATTAACACTTTGATTGTTGAATATCTGCCAGCCACCATGTTAATCACTTTATACAATACAATCAGCATAACAGTTCTCTATAAGCTTTAAATACTATTGCCCTTCTATTACAGAAATGGAGGCTGAGAAATGTGAAGTAATGTGTCCTTCTGAAGCACAACTAGGCAAATAGAGCTAAGATTTAAGTTTTTTTTTCTTTTTTAATGCCGTATTTCCATGCAGTATTTTTTTATTTATTTACTTTAGAGATGGGGTTTTGCCGTGTAACTCAAGCGACGGTGCAGTGGCATGACCATAGCTCACTGCAGCCTTGAACTCTGCAGCCTTGAACTCCTTGGCTCAAGAGAGCCTTCTGCTTCAGTCTCCTGAGTAGCTGGGAATACTGCCACATACCCCCACACTATAAATTTTTTTATTTTTTGTCTTTTGTAGAGATGGGGTCTCATTATGTTTCCCAAGCTGGTCTTAAACTTCTGACCTCAGCAATCCTCCTGCCTTGGCCTCCCAAAGTGCTGGATTATAAGCCTGACTATTATGCCCGGCATAATTTATTTTTAAAGTTTATATCTTTGTAATCAGTGTAACACATGTGCATGGTTTCCACAAGATTTGTTGTTATGAGAAACTGTTCCTCTCCTTCTCCCCACCATCCATATCCTCCTACCCTCCCCATCTCCCGCCAGTGGCAAGACTTTCAACTGTCAGCTCATTCTTGTGGTATTTACTTCCCTATGTCTCAATGCTGTAATATGTGTGTGTTGCTACTACTTTGATTTTCAGTTCTAGGCATTAACCATTGATTTCTCATCTTGGAAGATAAGAATTTAGTAGTTTACCCCCCCTATTATTCACATGCACACTTTCTTATCTATCCGTCTTCTAATATAATTGATACAATATTGGTTAGGCCAATATTTAGTGCTTATGTTATGGCTTTGTAAATGTAATCCTCAAATGAGACATGCTCCTCTTCAGCCCTAATTTTAATTTTTCTTGGGGAGTTCTTTTCAAGGTTTTTGTACTTGCTGATTTTATATGTAGTTGTCACTAACCTAACCCCACACTCTCTACCAAATGTTTAAATTGGGGTTTGTCAAATGTGAGCTTACCTACAGGGTAATTTGATTGCACCATTTTGCTCAGATCTTTCAATGTTATCTTAGCTCTCAATGAGTTTTAAGGTCTTGCCTCTTAGCTTTGTCAGATTCTCCAAATAATTTTTTTTTCTTTATTTGGCTGGAGAATAAATGCCTGGTTCTCAGCCTTCTGAGGTTTGAGAGGCTCAATGTCACGATATCACGAGTCTCAATACCTCAATACATTCATTTAATCAGAATGGCACCCATATTTTCAACTATGCCTGATGCTTTTAAGTACAGAGGCCCTTTGTTTTACCCTTTCCAGAGACTAATCTTCACTTTTCTACCTGGGGGCAAAAGAGGAGGTAGCTTGGCTTTTTAGAATAGTCAAGAGGAATATGGAATTTTAACGCTTTTTAAAAATAAGATAACAGTGTCTCTCATTTTAAAAAATTATCTATTTTTACATCTTCTAGACATTTCATATAAACAAAATCTTACAATACATGGTCTTTGGTGACTGGCTTCTTTCACTCAGCATAATGTTTTCAAGGTTCACCCATATTGTGACATGTATCAGTACCTTATTTCTTTATATTGCTAAATAATATTTTATGATATATCATTTATTGGTCTTTTCATTAGGTGATAGTATTTGAGTTGTTTCTACTTTTGGTTATTACAAATAATGCTGCTATGAACATTCATGTACAATTTTTTTGGATATATATTTTCATTTTTCTTGGGTGTATACCAACAGTAGAATTGCTGAGTCATATAGTAACTCTAGTTTTACCTTTGTGAGTACCAGCCAAATGGTTTTTCAAAGTGACTACACATATTACATATACCTAGGAGTAAAACTGTTGAGTCATACAGTAACTTTATGTTTTGCATTTTGAGAAACCACGAAACTGTTTCCCAAAGTGACTGTATAAAACCACCAGCATTGTGTGAGGATTCCACATTTTCTGCTTCTTCACCAACATTTGTTATTGTCTTTTTTATTTTGCCACCCTAATGGGTCAGAAGTCATACTGTGTTTTTCTATTTGCATTTCCCTAATGACTAATGATGTAAAGCACCTTTTCCTGTTTGCATTGGCCATATCTTCTTTAGAGAAATGTCTCTTAATTTTTTTTTTTTTTTTTTGCCCAACCTGGGCATGAAAGCAAGACCCTGTCTTTACAACAGCTACAAAAAATTAGCTGGGGGCCTGTGCTTGTAGTCCCAGATGCTTGGGAGGCTGAGGCAGGAGGATCACTTGAGTATAGGAGGTTGAGGCTGCCAAGAACTATGATTATACCACCGCACTCCGATCTGGGTAACAGAACAAGCTATCTCAAATAAACTTTGTTTCCCGATTTAAAATTGGTCTATTTGTTTTTTTCATTGCTGAGTTGTAAGAATTTTTTATTCTGAATACTGTCTCCTATGAGATATATGATTTACAAATATTTCCTCCCATATTGTGGGTTGTCTTTCACTTTCCTGTGGGTGTTCTCTGAAGCACAGAAGTTTTTAATTTTGATGAAATCTTATTTTTTTCTTTAGGTACTTATGCTTTTGATGTCATATCTACGAAACAATGGCCTAATCCAAAGTCAAAAACATTTATACTTTCTTCTAAGAGTTTTAGTTTTAGTTCTTACATTTGTGTTTATGATTCATTTTGAGTTAACTTTGGTGTCCAGTGTGAAGCAGGAGTCCAACTTCATTGTTTTGCATGTGGATATCCAAAGTTGTCTTGGGACAGTTTGTTCAAAAGATTGTTATTTCCCCATTGAATTGTCTTTACACTTTTATTGAAAATTAATTCTCTCTACAAGAGTTTATTTCTGGTCATTCAATTCTATTTCATTTACCTATATATTTGTCCTTAGTACCACACTGTCTTGATTATTGTAACTTTGTTATAAGTTTTGATTTGTCTAACTGCTTCTCAGACTTTGAGCCATTCTTTTTAAGTCTCATCTATCTACCTTCAATTCCATAGGTATTTGAGCCTTTAGGGTATTTTACCATGTAAATTGTGTTGCTTCTCAGTCTTCTTCACTGATAGCTTAAGGTTCAGCTTTCCCATGACTGCAAAGCCTTTGATCATTATTTTCTTCTTTCAAGTTTCTAATTTTTTATTGCTGTTCTTTTCCAATTTAAGCGATTCTTGTGATCCTTGAAAAGGAATTTTTTATGCTGTTTTAATAGGATTTCTGGTGTGAGTAAAAGTAGTTAAATCTTTAATTTCTAAATAAATATTTTAAATAAATTACTTTTAATATATTTTTTCTCCTTGCTTCCACATCCAAGCAAGGACACTGTCCAGTGGATTTTATCCCGTCACATCTCTGGTTCTTTCATCGCATCTCAATAACATTAGCTATTATTATCATTACTTCATGTGTCTTATTTAAACTTCCTTCTCCCATTAGCTGATTAGAGATCACCTTTACAGAAAATGTAAGTCAAATCATATTTCTGGAATTAGATCAATTAATAATTATGTCCCTTTAAGACTCAAGAAACAATTTAACTTCAGTCAATATTAGTTCATCCCTACTTGTTTTGAAAAAAATTTTTTCTATACAGACAAGCAGTGCCAGCACCAGATTTTGTTTAGATTTTCAAATAGCATATTTGGTCAAGAGTTTTCATTCTTCAGGAGAGTGGTAACATTTTCCTGTGGCCTGGTGAATTTAATTTTATGACTTTCTAACATTTGAGTAGTAAGAATATTGAATAATCTATGCATGTCTTATTGCCCGATTTGATCTAGTTCACGATGACATTTGACAGTATGTGTAGTCATTAAAAGCTCAGAGGTCTTAGTACTCTTAACCTCTGCTTCCTCCTTACCACATAACACACAGATTTCGTATATTTAAGTAGCATTTTATATCTGAAAGGGTCATGTCAGTGGTTAAATTTCCATGATTTCCAGTGGATAGAAAAAATTCAGTAGCCGCAAGAGTATTAAAATGAATAACTGATATACGGACACCTAGTTTCCTTTTATTTATCATTTAATAAGGAAGATTCCAGGGTTAGTGTCTGAGCTATACGTATCCACATGTGGCTAAATCAAAGACTTACATTTCTTTTGCAATACATTTTCCTCCATATAACTCTATATAGAGGTATCACAAGATTAAGAAGAAGTCCTCTTATGAAAGCCATTACACATATGTACACTCACACATTTGCATACACAAAATTATAACATCTCAGGTCAGAAAAAGCTTATTAACATAAAATGGAGTTAGTCAATGAGTAAAAAAAATGCAGGCTGATAGGAGGAATAAGATCTAGTGTTCGGGAGCACAATAATTTATTTCTTTTTATATTTCAAAATAGCTGGAAGAATGGAATTGGAATGTTCCTAACACAAAGAAATGATAAATGCATGAGGCAATGGATATCTTGATTACCTTATTTGATCATTACACATTGTAAACTTGTATCAAAATATCACATGTACCTTATAAATATGTACAACTATTAGTTATCCATAAAAATTAAAAATGAAAAAGTCTGCCAAATGGTTTAAGGGTTCAGCAGTGCTGATCTTTTTAAAATTATTTTTCTAATTTTGTAAAGAAAGCACAAAATCTTTGAATTCACAGTTGCTTGAAGACTGAGGTCAACTTGCCAGTAGCAGGCTTGAGAGATGAGAGCTAACGTCAGAGGATAGATGGTTTCTTGTACAAATAATATCCTCTTATGTATTTTTCTCCACCACCTCCGCCCAAACGGCTACTCGACCTATGAAACAAATCGCACCATGAGCACAGATAACCCCAGGCTTCAGGTCTGTAATCTGACTGTGGCCATCGGCAACCAGAAATGAGTTTCTTTCTAATCAGCCTTCCATCAGTCTCCATTCATTCATATAAAGAAGCCCGGGGATGGGAGGATTCGTATTGCTCTTCAGCACCAGGGCTCTGGACAGCACCCCAAGCAGGCAACTGATCGCACGCCCCTTCCTCTCAATCTCCGCCAGCGCTGCTATTGCCCCTCTAGTCCCCCCTGCTGCAGAGAAAGAATATTACACTGGGATCCATGCAGCCAGCAATGATGATGTTTTCCAGTAAATACTGGGCAAGGAGAGGGTTGTCCCTGGATTCAGCAGTGCCCGAAGAGCATCAGCTATTTGGCAGCTTAACAGTGAGTACTACGTACCTGGCACTCTCTGAAGAAGTATTTTCTAAAGTAGTGACCATCTTCTCCTCACTATATGAATCCCTCTTACAGCGTAAGCACGAACACCTCAACTTTCTCCTTTATAATCTGTCTACCCTGCTTTCCTCCTGTCTGCCTTCAGTCTTCCTCTTCTCTCCGTAAAGTAAAGCGAGTGTGCTAATTACTGCGTGCTAAACTTCCTTTCCGCAAAGTTTGTAGAGAGTTAAGAAGTTCCTGAGCATTAAGAATGAGACATTGCATGATCCAATGTCTTAAATCTACAACCAAATAAAAGAGTGTGTAGAATCTTGAAAAGCCATTTATTATGAGGAGGAGGAGTAGGGAGAACAAATTAAATAAATTTCCACAGTTTTCAGAAGATCATTGTGTCTCCTACACCCCCTTCAGTTTACAAAGCCTGGTCTTTAAACACAGAACTATTATTTTCTGTTCTCAGTTATGGGTGCAGGTTATTAGAATAAAAGAAAGATTGGATTCCATTCAAAAGTTTTTCTGTGTTCCACGTTACTCAATTTTTTTTTCCAGTTTAATTGATGGAATAATGAAAGCAATACACCACTTGCTATATATTTAAGGGAGTTTTATGTTTAAAATATTTACAGAATAAAAGAGCAGTGTTTGCAGGACTTTAGATCCTCCTTTGAGGTAATAGTTGTGGGCTTTAATAAAATCCATGCGATAAAAATGTATCGAGGTCTTTGCCATTAAAAATATTAAATGGTATTTTATTACTCCACTATCAGAGTTTATCAACCAAATCCAATTCAGTCTGTATCATAGAATAATCTGTTTTAATATGTTCGAGAGGGTTGCATTGTATTGACATATCATCACTGATAAAAATGTTGAAAAGTAAACATGGCAACTTTTGTAGAATTATTTTAATCAATTTGCAAAAATGATGCCAAAACATAAATAGATTTTCTAACATTTAAATATCATGAATATTTGGAAGAGATATTACAAAGAAGAATTTTGAAGTTATAATTAACTGCCAGAAGGAAAAGAAAGCTCATAGTTATGGTTAATGTGTGACCCTTTCATATAAAAATGCTACTTATATATGTGAGATCTGTGTGTTATGTGGTGAGGAGGAGGCAGATGTTAAGAATACTGAGACATTTGAGCTTTTAACGACTAAATATACTGTCAAATGTCAATGTCTGAATAAAACTCTTCCCTCCCTCAAGTCATAAATAATAAAATCTTCATGTCTATTATATATAAATCTAGTGAGTAAGGCAATACTAATGTGTGAAAATAAAGCCAATAGAGAAATCAGAAGAAGACAATGACAAATAACTATTCACTGGGTCCCAAATCAAACCTACATTTGTCAGTTTCAGAGGATGTAGTAGGTTGGTATGATTGTATTAAATCACCATTTGCCAGGAGTTACTTCTATGTCTGCCCAATGCTGTATTTACATATAAAGAATATAAAACAGACCATCATAATTTTGCACTGACTGTCAAATGAAAGTTTCCAGCTTTTTGTTTTCATTTTGTTTCCTCCCATTCTATTCCTAAATAAAGTTTCCAGCTTTTTATTCTGCATTTCTGGCAATGGATCTGAGTTATTGGAATCTGTCATTGTTTTCTTTAGCTAGCAGGACTAATAGACATTACTTCATCAGGCAATATAAAATCTTAAGTTGCTGATAAAATGTTAGCCTTTTTCAATTTCTCAGATTTTACTGTTTGCTCCTAATGATTAACTGGCCAGGTTTCTTCCTTTCTTCTTTTTTCCTTTTATTTGTGGCTGAATTTTAATAGTAACTTTTCAAATATTTTCTGACACCTTTGGCCTTAGAGTTATACACTCATCTGTGCTAAACTTTTTCAGGTGTATTCACATTGACAATGTAGATCTAATTGAAGAAAGTAATGTTACCCATTAGTTTCTGGTCATGTGCTGACATAGTTCAGAATGAAATAAGTATTTTGTTTTTAAAATTTAATTGAAACTAAAATTATTGTCAAAAATATGTCTGATCTTATTTTTATTATGGTTAGTAATTAATTTAGTTTCCATATGATTCAACTAGGCTAAGAGATTAATTTTTATGCTATAAAATAATCCTAGAAAGGCAGGAATTGTTCATATATGATACTTCATGTTTTATGACAATCAGGTTTTCGTTGCTATGAAAGTGAAGCAAATCTGATCCCTTTTTAATTTCAACCACTAGATGATGTCTTAGACCACTGGAAAATAGTGTCCCAGAATACATTAGACCAATATTTATGATTGAAATTTATGAGTGACATGGCAGCTTCACCTTAAGTTTGTATAATCAGTGGAGCTTCCAGCTTGTGAATGAAATGTGTGGAAAAAATTAATTATGGAAGATTTGGAACCCTAACTAATATTTTGTTTTATTATGCTTCTACCTTCCTGAAGATAAATAAAGCTAACTCTGGCAAAAATGACGACAAAGGCAACAAGGGAAGCAGCAAAAGTGAAACTGCTGCTGAAAGTGGCAAGACAGCTGTTGTATTCTCCTTGAAAAATGAAGTTGGTGGATTGGTAAAAGCATTGAGGCTCTTTCAGGTGAATGTAAAATATCATTACATGATTTCAAAAGTGACTGTGTGCCTGGCTACAAACCTGTTATCTGCTATGAAACATTACTGAATCAATTTCTGGATTATGTGGTGAAAGAGTCAAAGGAACCAAACTTGATGAGGCTTTAATGGGGGTTTGTCTGTCAAACAATGAAATAAGCAGAATTGCATAAGCTGTGGCTTATTATTGCAGAGTTAGCTTGTTAGGAACTCTGAAGACTATTGACAGGTTAGGAGGTCAGTACTTCAAAAATGTGAGCTTCACACCTGAAAATGAAAACACAAGAGGAGCCAAACAGGGTATCTTAAGTAGCAAGAGCCTGCAGCTTGATTTGATTTGCTCAAATTTGAATGTACACATGTCCTAAGAGCATGCTTATTACAAAAAGCGTAGTAATACTAATACTCATGTATCATAAATAATAATAATAATACTCATGTAGTGTAATAATAATAATACTCATGTATCAGCACTTGGTATTCCCCTAAGTCTCATTGTTTATATGTCTTAATGTATCTTTTTGTAAATATGAGTCACTCTCCATATATATGTGTGTGTGTGTGTGTGTGTGTGTGTGTGTGTGTGTGTGTGTTTGTGTGTATAGTTGGGCTAGCTTTCCCCTTATCTTATAGAAATGCTGTAGCATCTTTCCAGGCCCAAATCTGTAGTTTGAACCTCAGGAAAGATCCCGGCTAGGGGTGAGGCTGGAAAAGCCCAGAAAAGCTGTTGTGTTCTTGCCAGCATACACCGAATGGTTTCTCTCTCCTTCAGCAAACACCCTCCCTTACAAATGCATTTTGTTTGGGAGCAGTGACTGTTGATGAGAGTTGTAAGATAAGGAGCCTAGCTCTGTGTGATGCCTTGGGCTGCTAGTGCAGTGGAAAGATAGCTGGAATTGCAGTCAGGGAATTCAGATCTGTGTTCTCCTGGCTTGGCTAAACACTAGCTGCTTCCTAGATTCAATTTCTTTATTTGTAAAATAGCAATAATAGTTCCTACCTAACAAGATTGTTGGGATGGAATGGTATGAGTGAAAGTGCTTTGTAAAGTATATAACTATGAGGCATTCTTATGATGCCTCCATGATGATCATAGCAGGGGAATGAGCAGCCTGATTTGGCAAATAATTTCTTGTTTTCTTTGACCTTGAAGAAAGGATCAGCCACCATAAACAGTGGTAATGGAAATCTGGGGAAATATTTTACAGATAATTATGTCATTCAAGGCTGTGTCCATACAGTGCCAAAGGCAGGCCAATTCAATTAGACAGCTGGGTGCAGTGAATAAATCCCTGGAGAAGGAGTTAGCAGCCCTGAGTTTTCACTCTGCTATCAGCTACTCATAGGGCCTTAGCTAAACCATTTAACCCATCTGGATCTCAGTTCCCCTAAAAATATCTATTCTGCTTCAACCAAAGGTCATTAAAAGCCCAAAGTGACACAATGTATGTGAAATCTCTTCAGCCTTAAACTTAATATTAATCTTACTATTATTATCAGCCAATTGAGAAAATATAACATTATTGTAAAGATTAAATAAAAACAGAAATAGAACATTTAGTTTCCTAGTCACAAGACCAGTTTCTTTATAGAGGAGAGGGTGCTGTTTGATTTGATACAGTTCTGGCACTGGAAACTACCTATCCTGTTCTTATGCTGAAAATTCTGAGATCATCTAGGATTGTGTCAGGAATTGTGATGATGATCAGAGTGTATCATCCGGAGTGAGAAGATGTCTGCTTGTTTGGAGGTGGGTTGGGATAGAGAGAACAGAGTCTTCAATTAAGTAAGAGGAAATAAAAAAATACATCATTGGAGAAATTCTAGTCTGATTTTTAAATATTAAATCACTGCCCTTATCTCTGAGATCCATCATAGAGTGATAGTTGCAGAAACGTGTCCTTGGTTGAAGCCAGTTTGAAGATTGCCAAAAGAGAACAATTATTAAGTGGTCCCATTGAGGGGTTATTATTATTTTTACCTTTTTTTCACCCTCCTCGCAATGGCCTGAGTAAGTTGTTTTCCTTTTGCCTTCAGAGATTCTCTCTTCACTACTTACCTTGTTCCATATGGGGAGAAAATGAAACACTAGTTTGGCTAGTGTTTCCCAAGCCTCAGTCATTTTCATACCACCTCCCCAGTTTCTGCTTGCCATTGGTACTATTTACCTATAAAAAGATTATAAAAGGTTATTTCTAAAACGTTATTTTAAAACTTTGTTTATTTTACAAGAAATCTTTATATTAGGGGTTTGAGTTTTAGTTATTTTTTTAGAAACATAAATCTGGATATTACATGATAATATAATAAATAATTTTTCCCCACATAATCACATGCCACCTGTGGGATGTGTACCACTCTCTAGGAAAGGATGATTTTCATAATTAAATACATTTTATAGGGCCATTATATATTTTAAATGCCCCTTCTGTTTTTCATGAGGCAGGACAACCTATTATAGAAGTATAAATATATAGATTTTTTTTTTATTAATAGAGATAATGGTTGGAAACATTTCCAAGTTACAGTCAAAGAACAAAGAGATTGTCTCTTCCTCCTTTGTGGGTACTTGGCACCTTGCTTAAGACATGAACAAGAAAAGCTGATGGCATTCCTTTTATTGTCCCCTGAAGGTGATTTTGAGTTGTTCATGTTTCCACAGGAAAAACGTGTCAACATGGTTCATATTGAATCCAGGAAATCTCGGCGAAGAAGTTCTGAGGTTGAAATCTTTGTGGACTGTGAGTGTGGGAAAACAGAATTCAATGAGCTCATTCAGTTGCTGAAATTTCAAACCACTATTGTGACGCTGAATCCTCCAGAGAACATTTGGACAGAGGAAGAAGGCAAGGGTGATCTTAGCTCATTGGGTAATTTTGCAATCTGACAAATATTGCAAAGGGGAAAATACAATCTGTGAGCTAATATTTTTGAACCTGCACTGTTTTCAACAGAGCTACAGGATGTGCCCTGGTTCCCTCGGAAGATCTCTGAGTTAGACAAATGCTCTCACAGAGTCCTCATGTATGGTTCTGAGCTTGATGCTGACCACCCAGTAAGTGTCCAGTAAAATCTATTCCTCACATGCTCTCTCAGCTCCACCCATGTGCCAGGTAGTGTGTCATGTTCTGTGCTGCAATGCTTTATTGTAGAACAATTTATTATTTATTCCCCATAACTGAGAGCAGACTTCCAAATGATAAAGCTTCTCTGGACACGTGTTGACTAGAAGCAGGTCAGAAGGATGGCATTTTCACATAGCATTTATTTTTGAAAGGGTTGGATAGAGGAGGAGGCTCTAGACCTTGGAGTATATTTCTGTGGAATTAGACAGCCTGAAATATACTTGCAGATGGTGACCCTTGGAAAAACGATGAACTGAAATTGATCACGCCTCTGGGAAACTAGGGAGGACTAGGTATTATGGGGCTCAGTAAGAGAATAAAATTCTTCTTGCTATTTTCTTTGACTGGAGGTAGTTAGGAGTAGAGTAATGTAGTTGACTTCAGTCTCAATGGAAAGGCAGAGAGCTTTAGAATAAAGGCTATGATGGAAGACATATCTCTTCCCACACCTACCCTGAATCTATCTACCATCATTCTTTCCTCTACTCCAATAAAAATGACCATGCTTAAAGAAATATGATACTTGGGTAAGCATTTCCCATTATTCTCCCCTTCCCCCCTTACATCAGTTTTTATTTAACACAAGAGACCTGAAACTTCTTTATGGCCAGAGTGAAGTACAGTTAATAGTCTGGGGAAGTAAGCTATGCACCCATTCATTATAGGCATTTTTTCCCACCTCCGGTGCCCCGTGGCTAAAAATGGGCAGATAAAAGAGTAAAACTCAAGCAGATCACTAATGCTTACAGGAAGCCTCTGTGGTCTGCAGGTAATAGTTTACAGATATTCCTTGTGTTTAAACTGAGGAAATCTTGGGGTTTGACAATGTGGCTATACTCTGTGCAGTGGCTCTCTAAGTGCGACCCCAACATCAGCAGTGTTGGTATTACCTGGGAACTTGTTTTAACAAGTCCACACTTAAGTTTGAGAACCCATGTTTTAAAGGAAACGATGACAACTTTAACACTAGGGAAATTTTCAACTAAACCAGTCATTTGACATAATATACCAACTCAGACCAATTCAAGTATACACCACTCAAACAAATGGTCAAACAGACCTAACTCAATTGCATTATTTTGAAAAGCCTAAGTTCTATCAAAGAAAACAGTGAGTTATATTTGCTAGCATAGTCTAAAATTTCAGAATATTTTCCAGTTACTCACATTTAAGGCTCTGAACATTAGAAAAACATTGAAAAATGGCTTTAAGGATCACCCATTGTCCTATTTCCCCTCTCCCAACATCCAGAAGGCATAAGAATTAGCACAGAAGCCTGATTCAGGAGCTAAGCTATACCCAGACTGCACAGATAACAGCTGTTAACTTGCAGGATGACCTTGGCCAAGTCCCTTTTCTTCTGCACCTCAACTCCTTTTTGTAAAAAGTGGAAATAAAATTGTTATTGACCTCAAAGGAGTGTTTGAAAAGCCTAGTTAATAAAACAACTGGAAAGCATTTGGCAAGAGTAAATGCTTAATTCCAGAAAAGGAAATGCTGTATTAAATCACCCAGATCAGTGCCCGGACAGTAAAGGGTTTTTTGGTAACCTCCTATTTCCAAATGCTCCCCTTCATCTAGTTTGAAAGTTACTCAACCTGGAGAGAGGAGTTCAGCCATTTTAATGGAACAACCACAGGAACCACTGACCTTGCTGAGAAAAAATTTATTTCAATACCCAGCATAAATTTTCCTGTGCTTAATTTTATTCCATTACTCCTAATTATATCCACCTTATGAAACCTTCTCTTATTTTCTGTGCAGCCACTTGAAATAATTGCAAGCACTTAGCAATCCCCTCTCTTGTCATTTTTTAAACTACATATATTTCTTTCATAAGCACACCAAATGTTCATTATGCAGGATTTCATGTTGGCAAATTGGTGTTTTTGTAAGTTATTTGATGAGGATGGAAAAGTTGTCTAAGTACTTTTTATGCCTGGGAGTAATCCCAGTCCTGAGACAAACACAGGGACCCTTGTGATAGGATACTTCAGAAGGGGCTTGGAATATAAGAGTAATGTTGCTGAGGCTCCCTAGAAAGGGCTAAATATCCAGGTTAGTGCCTCTCAAATTTTAAGAAACAAATCACCTTCAAGGTCTTTTTAAAATGCAGATAATAATTCTGTCAGGCTTGGGGTTCTGTATTTCTGGTGAGCTTCTAGACAAGACTTGTACCAGAGGGTCTGGGGACCACACTTTGAGGAGCCAGCATCTACACTTGGAAGGTCTTTTGGAGTGGGGTTCAACATTCACGTGTAAGGGGTTTGGTAAAAATATAGTATCTTGATGCTCATCTGAAGTCTACTGAGTCAGAACTTTCAGGGATGGCCCAGGAATCTGCATTTAAAAGTGTCTGCAGGGGGTTTTGATGAGATCTAAAGCTTGAGAACTAATGTCTTAATGTTCTAGCTCAGTGATTCTCAGCCCTAGCTTTCCATTCAAATCATGTGTGAAGAATTAAAAAATACTGATGCCAGGGCCTAGCTTTCCATTCAAATCACATGTGGAGGCTAAAAAAATACTGATGCTGGGAATGTGGCCAGGTTTGATGTATTATTTAAAACTCCCAGGTGATTCTAATATTCCACCAGGGTTGACCTATTTGGGATAGCTACTTGAGTGTCAATGTAAATTTAGCTGAGCACTTCAGGGTTCAGGCTGGGTCTTCAATTTCCTTTGATTTAAATTGAGAGAGGGAGGGCGGGTACTCTCTGGGTGGTAGGGTTGCCAGATTTAGCAAATAAATATCTAGCATGCCCAGTTAAATTTGAGTTTCAGAGAAATAAGGAGTAATTTTGTAGTATAAGTATGTCCCATGCAATACTTGGGACACATTTATACTAAAAAAATTATTTGTTGTTTATCTGAAATTCAAATTTAACAGGGTGTCCTGTATTTTATCCATAACCCTATCCCTGGCTTCGGGTTCAGAGTGGATGACCAAGGAATGCTGTTTCTCTGTCACTGCTAGCACAGCTAGCGTCCCCATTTTACTTTGCCAGTCCATGGTTCAATCCAGGAAGCTCTGGATCGCCTACAACATTTGCGTAATCACTGCCACACTAAGCTAATGAAGCATGATGAGTAAATCACTCTCTTGCGTCCTTGGAAAAGGTGCAGGTGTTTGCCGAAGAGAAGCAGTTGAGATTCTTCAGGAGGCCCAGCAGATTATGATGCCGTTACCATGGTGTCCAGTCTGGCAGGAACGGGGGAACAGATGCTGTTTTTTTCACAGGATGCTTTTCCTTTTGTCATGGCCTGTTTTCTTTTTGAATGATAAAGGTGCTTGGAATTCTTTGGTTTTACCATGTCAAGTAGCCTGGTTTTCCTAGTGAGTGTTGAAACAAGTACTTTCTAGCATGACCACATCTACCATCTACAGCAGGAGACCTTTTTAAAGGGCACAGATCTATTTGTGAACGTGGTAACTATTTATTATTATTATTATTATTATTATTATTTTTTACCAAATGCCCAGACTTCAGGGACAGTAGTAACTATTTTATAAAATATTTTATATAGACATTTTAGGACTTCACCAGCTGCCTGTGAACCCCAGTTAAAAAACCCCCAATTCACAGTAAAAAATAATTGCTAGTTTCTTGGATGGAGGATATTTCATTTCTACATGGAGTTAAGGTGGTCTTGGGGCATTTTCTCTCTCCTCTCCTTAGTAACCCTCTTGTCATTCCTGAAAGAAATGTTGTTGGCAATGGAAGTTCTTCATTTCTGTCCTGCAGACAGCCCTGTGATTTCTAGCCTCGAGGCCAGTTCTCTTCAGCAGGACAAGAGAGTGGGGCGATTTGCTAATGAGTTTGAGATTCCTCTTGAGCAACCCATCTTGCAGAACTGTCTTAGGTACAGCAGAGGTAGTCTAGGCCTTTGTGGGCCTCACCCTGTTCTTTCACTCTCCAAAGCCATGATCCCAGTGGCTTGTCTCCTTGCTTGTCCTCCATTTGTAGTAAGACATTGTGTCCTGGTTATCCTTCTGGGTTGCAGGGCTGTAGAGGTAGACGTTAAATTGGAACAATTGCTTCTGGGCTTCCAACAGCTGGAAGAAACATCCCTGGGAAGAACTGATTGTCTCAAAGTGTTTAAAGGAAAGGAAAATGTCTAGTCTGTTGACAAGAGGAGAGATTTTTGAGTAAACCAAGAAGTCCTCTTGGGAGGATTTCACTTGACTGAAAAATGACAGACATAATGTTTAATTTCCCAAGTGGTCGATGATGGATAAAAATCTTGAAGTTGGCTAAGACTAACTAGAATTATAAGAAGTCAGAGTGGAGTGGTAGGCTGCTATCCTGTGCATGAATTCCCTAAAATTGATTTTGCATTGTGTGGCTCTAGTCATAAAATACAGCAAAACCTCTTTAATTTGTACCAATTTGGGAATGTGTTGATTATTCAAAATGTTAGAATTTATAATAAATGTTACATTTATTCGTTATTCATACAAAGCAATTAAAATTAGGTCAACTTACTGAATAATCATGTTAAAGGGATCTGTTTTAATGAATAGGATAGGATTAATTTGTGATTAAGATCAATTACATGCAAATGATATTTGAAAACCTAAAGGTATTATTCACAATATCAATATGCTCAACTAAGTCATTCTGCTTACTTAGTGGAAAGGTAAACTTCAGCCTTAATTGCCACACATCCTAAATTAGTACAGCCCCAATTTAATGAGGTTTTACTATAAGCACAATGTGTTTCTGTCTGTGTCATCAAGATGGTCATCCTAGGATAAGATTTACATATGAATTGAACACTCAATAAACACGACAGTGATTTTCTTTTAGGCCTTCTGCAGCTAATTTTCAGTACTTTGTAAAATAACTTAATCTCTTGTGTTTAAGGGATTTAAGGACGATGTCTATCGCCAGAGAAGAAAGTATTTTGTGGATGTGGCCATGGGTTATAAATAGTAAGTACCTGTATAACTCTTTCTTGTCACTGGCTAGTTAGGAAAAACGCACGCTGTGTTAAACAAACCTGTCATCTCTCCACGTTAACTTTTGCAGAAGGCATGCGTGAACCATTTTAAACACTCACCAACTCTGTAGGCTTTAAATGCCAACACTGAGGTTTGACATCTGGGTATAACTGTAAAATAATGAGACCCACGGGCCACACGCCAAGTGCCACATTTACACCATTGTGTTCCCAATTCCACCAAGGCAAAGAACCATTTCTGTGCACTCTGCAGGTCTCAGGAACTGTGTTTTAATTTTAATTTTACTTTAGCCTTGACTTTTCAGTAACCTCCTTCAATCTCCTGCTTCTCCAGCGAAAGTAGAGGATTCAGCAAGAATGATGAAAGGGCTCATTTAAGGAGCTGTAATAGAAAAGACATGTGCTTGCTTTACATGGAGAGGAAAACTTCCTGTAAACTGCAGGGGATATGAAGAAGTTTCACACCCGTTCCCAGGATTGGGATGGAAAAGAAGAACCTCACTTTTGGGAGTGAGGACTGTGCATGATGCTAAGTGGCAGTGACAGGATGGGCTTGTGATTGGCAATGATGTTGTGTGTTGACTGCAGGCCACGTTTAGAATAATGCAGTGGTGGTTAGGCCTCGGTTCTACTCACGCTAGTATGACTCATAGATCATCACAATGCTCTCTTTCCTCTGGCTGGTATGTGATCAGCTACAGGAAACTTGTCATAGAACAAAATGTAAATCCATACCCCTACTAAGGGAAAGATTCGTCCTACCCCAATTAAGAGTAGGTGTGAAACTTGACTGTCCTGAGAGGCAAATTTGTCATTGGTGAAGGTTAGGACATTATGTATGTTATAGAGGGTCTCAGTGTGGGCTTTGTTTATAACAAAGAATTCGACACACAGGTGCTTAAGACAAGTGAGAAGATTCTTCATCTCACTTCCCATTGGGCATCCCTAGCTTCCTTTGATGCTTAGGTGCTCTTCATTTCATCCTCTCAGGTCCCAGGCATCCTTCATCCCTTCTCCACCACATTTAGGAAAACCATGTTCTTAAAAACCGGGACTACATGGCACATGCCCTTTCACGTGTGTCTATTTTCATCTCCTCTGTTCTAAGCAGCTTCTTTCCCCGCTCTACTGTGACTTAGGATAATTCGCAATATCAGCATGCACTTGTTCTAGCCCAAGCCCAACCTCAGGCCCCCTTCTTACCCTTGGCATCACCACCCACTAGCCCCTTCTCCCAGTGTTTCCTGATTAAATTGCCAAGAGAGGACTCAAATGGGCTGAGCTCATGTTTTTCACCCAGGCCTGATAATGGTTGTGAGCCTTACAATTAGCTCCCCCTGGTTCACAGGCTCCTTCTATGGAATCAGGTCATGACTGTAAAGGTGGATCCTTAGAGGGGGTGTGGGCAGGACAGTTCTTTGTGGCATGACCTGCCAGAACATGGTAGAAGCTCAGTGCCTGGGAGAGCCTTATCCTTTAGATAAAGTAGATAGCTTTGTCACTCAGGCTGCCTCTTGAGTAGCTGGGACTACAGGTATGTGCCATCGTGCCCAGCACTTTTTTTTTTCTTTTTTTTGAGATGTGGTCTCGCTTTGTCGCCCAGGCTGGAGTGCAGTGGTGCAATCTCGGCTAACTGCAACCTCCACCTCCTGGGTTCAAGGGATTCTCCTGCCTCAGTCTCCTGAGTAGCTGGGACTATAGGTGCACACCACCACAGCTGGCTGATTTTTTTTTTTTTTTTTTAAAGACAGAGTCTCGCTCTGTCTCCAGGCTGAAGTGCGTTGGTGTGATCTTGGCTCACTGCAACCTCCGCCTCCTAGGTTCAGGAGATTCTCCTGCCTGAACCTCCCCAGTAGCTGGGATTACAGATGCATGCCCCCACACCCAGCTAATTTTTGTATTTTTAGTAGAGACAGGGTTTCATCATGTTGGCCAGGATGATCTTGATCTCTTGACCTCGTGATCTGCCTGCCTCAGCCTTCCAAAGTGCTGGGATTACAGGTGTGAGCCACCATGCCCAGCCTGCCCAGCTAATTTTTTGAATTTACTTTATGTATTTTTGACAGGGTCTTGCTGTGTTGCCCAGACTAGTCTCAAACTCCTGGGCTCAAGTGATCCTCCTGCCTTGGCCTCCCAAACCGTTGGGGTTATAGGTGTGAGCCACTGTGCTTGGCCAGAAAATGCATTTTATATGTAAATGTTCTATGTTTTATATATGTGTGTGTGTGCATGTGTGTGTGTATATGAAATGACATGATTTTGACATAGGATTTTGTTAGCATAATGACTAAAGGACTAGCTCAAGTTTTGCTTATTTCTTCTTGATAGAATTCGAAAGCTGGACAAAGGCAAGCTGATGTTGTGGTGACACAAGCAGAATATGAGTCATTGAGTTTCAAGGAGCATTGATAATAAGGAGTCATTTGGTTTTATAGGAAAGATATTTATACGGAGAGAACAGAAAATGGGCATATAGTCAAAATGATGAGAGTGAAGTTCTCAAAGTGTTAACAAGAGTTTGTGTTTGCCACCTTTGCATAGCTAAAGAGTAAAATGAAGCTGTGATATCTGTTGAGAAAAAAAGTAGAAATTGGAGAAACTGGTGGACATTTATACAAAAGAGGGCTGGATGGAGCTGGTGCATTCCAGGATCTGGTCCCAGTTTGGAGGGCTGGGGAGTGCTAAGGTTCAAGGGGCTTAGCTCTTAGTAATTGACAGTTCAGAATGCCAAGATAGGCAGAAATGGCAAATTTATCATCTTATAGTGGGAAACAACCCTCACAGGACTCACAAAATCATCCCTATAATCATGATAGCAGAGGAAGCCAGATTATAACCTTACTTGGGGATGCAGAGTCGAAGCAAAAGGTGTTTACCTAACAGAGTTGAGAATCCAGGGCATGATAGCCCTCTCCCCTGGATGGTGCTAAGCCCAGACTGACTAGGCAGGATAACGGCATGCTAAAAAACTGCTGTATTAGACTCAGACTGTCTGGGTTTGTGTGCATTCCTCTGCGTCCGACCTGGGTGTGCAACCTAATTGTGCCATGACCTCTGCGTCTGAGAAGTGTGTCCAACAATAGGACCCATTTCCTAGGGTTGTAGTAAGGGCTGAAAAAGAGAATATATGTGCTGCACCTAACACGGAGCCAATGTGTTCTTCAAAATAAAGAACATATGACCGAGGATTATAAATGTCACTTGTATTATTAGGTTTAATACATCTCCCCTGACCTTTTCCACAGGCTGTCTTTCATTTCCAGTTGACCTACTGTTTTCTTCTTTAGTGATGTTAATATATTGTTTATGCTGCCACTTAACCAAATAATGTAGCTCAAAACGTTCTTGGAAGAAACTGTTTAGTTTTCCATTGAAACGCTGTTGCATATACAGAAGCGTTTTGTGTTGACCCACATTCCTCTTTATAAAGAGATTTCATAAAAAGCAGTCATATTCCTCCTCATCCCCTCCCCCCAACTTTTTTTTGCACATAGGAAGCTGCCAAAATACTAATAACAGATTGCCAGTACTTCTTGTGAGTGGATGGACAAGGGAAGGTGCCTACCTAAGGCAGTGAAATCAGGGAAGCACAAACCCAGGACTTGTGGGAAGCAGAGCCAAGGATCATTTCTTAATGCCCCTCTTGCTGTCATTGTTAAGGTTTCTCTGAGTATGAGTTTGAGGATGGGTAAGAAAGAGCCAGTCCTCTGTGTCACTTTTAAGCTCAGGTGCCTGCTACGATCCTGGGGTGGGGGGCGCAGACACTAACAAATTCCAAACGAACCTCGGCCATTGTCTCCAGGCTGCCATGTAGCAAGTAAGGTTTCCCTTCAGTTCATAGGAAACAGAGATGCAGTTTCTAATTGAAATAAGTATATAAAGAAGAATGATGTGCATACCATAATTGCTTAAAATAACTTCACTTAAGTGTGCAGTAACCCAATTTTCCGAACTGACATTTAGAATCACTTTGTCCAAGGAATAGATCATTTGAGACTGGGGTAGTTTCGAAAAATCTAGCATATGTGGTCCTTGCAAATATAGTTTGGTGATAAAATTAGGGGCCATTGTGACGGGGGAGAACAATTCAATTCCCTGTTGATAGTTAAGACTTTCTGGACAATGAGAAGAAGTCAAACATATGGTCAGAAATGCATAGAAAGATGGAGTATGGATATTTTGGGGTTGTAATAGAGGTTGGCAGAATGTAGTCTGAGGTGTCTAAAGGAAAGGAAAAGGAAAAGAAATGCAATACAGAATAACATATATATTGAAACCACAGCCAAGAAGCTCTCTGGGGGATTCGTGTTGAATACTATATTTTCTGTGATCGTCTTGAAAGGATAAAGCAGGGGGGAAGAATAAACACAAGCAGAGAAAAATGAAAAAATTCCACTCTATGATGAAAAAACAGCAGGCTCAAAGTCTGTATTACCATGAACCCGAAAGAGGAGAGGGAGCGGGAAAGTGCCGGCATGCTGCGAACTGTCAATAGATGCCACTCTGGCGAGCTTCTGATTGACAGTGCTGCCGAGAAGCATGATTGATTACCCAGAGGCCCACAGCTGCCTGCAGACATGAGTGTGGGACAGCCTAATTGCCTCACCAATAATAGCACAGGAAATATTTGTTAGTGCAAATATCATTCTTCATAGAAGATTTGAGAATGAACGCCCTGGATCGAGAGGACACTGTTTCTAAAATCATCTGTGAGAGAATGTCCAACAGGCAGATCACGCCTCTCCTCCCGTGCCCAAATAAAATAAATTCTAGTATAAACAGGAAAAAAGTACCCCATGATTAGATAATGTGATGTGCATATAGACTTGCAGTTCAGAGGAAATGGAAGTGCGTGGGGGGCAGATGGCATGTGGAGGAAGAGGAAATTATGACTGCGATGTTGTAGCTGTGAGGTTTGTCTGACACTATTCAGCTTTTTGTCTTTGGTGCCTTCATATTTTAATCTTGGCA